TCCCAGGGGCTGTGGAGAGGCACTTCTCTCCAACTGCTATTTATTACCCTGACCCTTCTTTAAGATTTATGAATCTGCAGCTTTTCATGAAAAAAAAAAAGGAGGGGGGGAGGAGGAAGGAAAGGTAACCCCTTTCCCTGTATGCATGGCTGTGGAAAGATGTAGTGCCCTCCCACATCCCAGATCTGTGAGCCGGGCACTCAGGGGCTGAGGTGAATCAGTATTTTCAGGTCCCCTCTCTCTCAATCTGAAGAGACTTGAGGGACTACACATCATTTGGAAGAATGCAAAAAGTCTCCATTTAAAATGCCTCATGTGTTCATCAGACCAGCAGCTGAAAGAAAGACACGGTGTGCAAACGTGCCAGTGTGTGAACGAGTCTCCAACTCAGTGGCCGGTGTGCTGTCCCTGGAGCTGGGAGCTTCCGGCTTTGATCTGCTTTCACATATGGACCCATTCAGTTGGACCTATTATGCTGGAACATATGGACAATTCTCACATGCAGAAAACCCCATGGAGTATTCAGACAACTACAATATAGACATTTCAGAGGAATTTTCCTTCAGAGCAATTTTAGCATGCCCTGTGGACTCAATTCCCATCAAGGATTCCTGTGTGTGCACCCCAAGATCTCTCCATGATGCAAAGCTGCAAGTGATGAGGATCAAGTGCTTTTCTCCAAAAGCATACTCTGACTCAAACTCAAACACTAGTGAAAATACACCCGCAGGAGGCTTGAAATCCTGCCCTACCTCATGGAAAGCCAGATTCCGCCTGCTTTCAGGCGCCTTCCACGTACCCTCAGTAGATGACATAACGTTAGTCGTGACTTACTGACACAGGTACTCGACTAAATAACGCGTAAAACAATGGAAAGGAAACGTCAAGGGTTTGACCAGCTCAGTCAACGGGTTCGCATGCGATCCTGGACAGTTCCTGCCCCACAGCGCCTGCGTTGCTGTTGAGTTTCCAGATAACGGGCTGTGCCCAGCTGAGGGAATCCCCACCGGCACCGCGCTCGGAGGGGCCCTGCCCGCGGTCATGGAGGGCAGTCCCGGTGCAGCGCTCCCTGTATCCCACGGCGGTGCCGGGGGAGCACCGGCAGCACCGCTGGGACCCGTCTGCCATCTGCAGCGCACTGCTGCCTGCCCTGCAGTCTGGGGCGGGTGCAGCGGGATGGGGTCCCCAAACGTTGCTCGAACGGACCAGGGAGTGAGGGGGTTTTGGGAGTGGGAGGGTTTGGGAGGGTGAGGGGAGCCCCGTCCCGGGGGCTCGGCAGGTGGCGACAGAGCACGGGTTTAGAGGGGTGCTTGGCGCTGCTCAGCGCGGGCGGGGAGCGGGGGGTGGCTCCGAGGGACCCCCGGGGCAGGGGGTGCAGCAGTCCCTCTAACGCCGCCCGAGCGAACCGTCTTCCTGGAGGACTCGTCATGAGGCTTAAACAATTATTTTTACAAGTACTCCTACAGAGAGATATAATAGGATTTAAAAAATATTTTTCTTTATTTTTAAATATATTGCACATGTACGTGTCTTCTATATAAAAACAGAGGAATAAACAGAGCACATATAGAAGCCTAAAAGCCAATAGGCAAGACACAGGCCGCGAGAGGAGGAGGAGGAGGAGGGCTGGAGGCCGCTCCGGCAGCATCCTGGGCCAGCTCCGAGGGGAAAACTCGGCTCACCATATTCCCCCCCATTCCGCCTCCGGAGAGCGCGGCTGGGCCGCCGAGCGCTGCCTGGGCTGACGGGAGCCCCGAACCCCCAGTGGGGTGAACAGTCTGCGCCGGGCTCAGGCACCGTCCGGGGCTCGGTGCCCGCCGGTCAGGCACTCGAGCTGCCAAAATCTCACAGGGTCTGTGGGATCTACCTGCCGCCCGCAACTCGCCCCGAAACTGGACGGGGCAGAGAAGGCCGAAAGAGCGGCCCGTCGTCCCCGTGGGGCGCTGGCAGGCAGCGCCCGGCCCTTTCCGGGATGCTCCCGGCCCCGTGCCTGCGAGTAGGGACGGGGAGCTGCAGCGCCTCGGGGTTAGCCCTTCTATTTCCCCTAGTAAGAACTCCAATAACTCTTTTTCCACCTCCTTTGTCGTCCTAGGGGAAATAAAAAAAAAAAAGTCCTTCGAGACTCAATTCCTTAAAAAAAAAAAAAAAAAAAAAAGCCGCAGCATCGCTGCTGCCGCACAGTTCATTCGCCTCCTTCTCGAGTCCCTCGGAAAGCAAGATTAAAGGGGAAAGTCGCAGCTGTATATTTATGTTTTCATTGCTAGAAGGGAATTGATTTCCTTGCATTTATTTTTGTAGTTGCAATACACAAGGGCGGATTTGCGTCACCAAAGCAACTTGCTGGTCGAGATAAAGTTGCACAAATATTGAAAAGGGAAGTGCTCGCACTCATTATGAAGTTTTTCACCGGAAGAAATAAGGATTTCTGCTGTATCCTAAAATACTAAAGCCGCTTCTATTTTGGGACAAATCTCGCAGGCACATCCGCTCATTTAGTCGGAGTTGGAATCTCTCAAAAAACAGGAGATGACCTGGACTGCAGCGAGCTTCGGGTTTCCTGCAGCCTTCTCCCTCCTTGCGCGGGGAGGAGGGGCTGCCGCCTCCCCGGACTAGCGCGGCCGCGCAGCCCTGCGCGTCCCCGGCCGCCGGGTCAGAGGGTGCGCGGGCAGGAAGGCCTTCAGAGGGCTTTGGGGAGAGAGGACATCCTTGTCCCCGGGGAGAGGGAGCGGCCAGGGGGTGAGGCAGGTGCTTCTCCTTTCGCCTGCGGAGGGTGCGCGGGGGCGCAACGCGACAGAGCCCCGGGAAAGCACCTGCCCCCGCAGCCCGGACACCCCAGCTCCCTCGCCCTCCCGAGTCCCAGCCCGGGGGTGAAGTGCTTCAGTGCAAGGTGTTTAGAGTTTCCTTCGGGGTTATTTCAGTCCCCGCGGGATGACAGCGCTTCTCCGCGCGCGGGCACCGGCAGCACCGCGGCCGTGCCCAGGGGCTCGAGCCTGCCCGGCCGAGCCTGCCCGGGACTACCGCAAACGGCGACGGGCGCTTCCCTCCGGTGAGGCTCATGGCCGGGCTCCGCTCGGCAGCGAGGCGAGGGGAGTTTTGAAATCAGCTCTTAAAAAAAACCAACCCCACCCCCCAAACCCCAAAAACATAGAAAGAAAGAAAGAAATAAAAACACCGTGTTGGGTTTTGTTTGGGTTTTTTTTTCCCCTGACTGAGTGGTGAGCAGCCACGAGCTGGTACAACGATACGGGGTATCAGTGGCAATTGCAGCAGTAATTTAACGAAGCGGTTTGCGGCCGGGATGCAGCGCTCAGGGCACACATCGTTGCCCGTCCCTCGGGCGGGCTGGCAGGGCGGCTCTGCCCGGCAATGGGGACGCCAGTGGAACTGGAGTCGTTCGATCCGGTTTGAGAGCAAGAGGCAGGCGCTGGTCAGCTGGCGGGGATAAAGGCGGGGTGAGGGTGGGGGGCGCGAGTGGGAGATGCAAGGAAAAGGAGCTTTCCGCTGTTGAGTCAGGAAAAGTTCAAACCTAATCAACCTTTTCTTTCTCCGACTTCGGTTTTCGGACACATCTTGGCAAGCCAGCCCGTCTTCATTTTTCGGTTTTGCCTCGTTAATAAGAACCAAAGTAAAGCAAAGCGGTGCTTGGCTTTTCCCAGAGAACCAGCCTCACCTTTACCCGTGCACACGGTTATGGCTAAGGAACGCATTCGCTCTTGCTCGCAGGTGGTTTCAATATTCACACAGAAACTACATCTTCATACCTGGAGGAAGAAAAATAGTTTGCCTTTCTGGCAGTTCCCCGAAAATCTTCTGAATGTGGGAAACCCTTTGGAAAAAAAAATATGATATTTTTGAAACAAAATCAAAGCAAACTTTCAATCGTCCGCCCCAGCAGCGACTCCTTTATTTGTACGAAAACTAAAAATAAAGAAAACAGTTGATTTTCAGAGTCAGGTCAGAACAAATGTGATTTTAGATGTGAGGGGGGGGAAAGCAACAAAGACGCTTTGATAAATCTGTCCCTAAATCATTGCAGCGAATACATCTTATGGTTGTGTTCCAGAAAAAAAACGGGGGTAATTCTGTTGTTAAGGGTTCGAGAAATTACAAAGTAATTTTTAAGGTGTAATTGTTGTGGAAGTAGATGCAGTCACCGGGATGGAGAACATGATAAAAAAAATCTATAAAATTGCACTGTCGTCAAAATACGATTAGTTAATTAGTCGCTGCTAATGCAGGATGCAAAAGCCCTGGGCCCAGAATATCTGGGAGCTCTCATAAATACATTTGTTGTGTGCATCAGCAGAGACTCCTTCTCTTGCAGACTATCCCAGGCTCATTTATCCGGGAAGGAAGCACATTTCCTTGAGAATCGTTTCCAAGAGGACAGACCTGTCTCCAGTCTCCAAGAATTTTCCTGCGCGTTTCTTTCAAATGTTTGGAAATCGCAGAAGCAGCAAGCGATCTTGCGCTATGTTTTTTTTCCTTTTATTGGGGGGGGGGGGGGGGGAGAGTGTTTAAAGTCGAGGGTGGAATTCAGGGGAGAGGGGGGATAGGTGTGTGTTGGGGTGCACTTTGTGGGGCGAACCGCACCAGGTCGCGGGTAGGGGCCACGCAATTCGCGCTGTCGGCGCGGTGGCCGTACCCGCGACGCGGCCCTGCGTGGGCGGTGTCGGCGGGCGGTGCTGCCCGGCCCCGCGGACCGCGGATTGGGCGTGGGGAGGGAGCGAGAGCTGCTCGCTGCCAGAGAAAGTTTTGGGGAGGGGTGGATATTTTTTTCTTCCCCTAGAGCGAGGAAAGGGGGTTTGGTTTGGGTTTGTTTTGTTTGCGCCGCTCCGCTCCTCGCCCACTCGCTTTCTTCGTCTGGCCGCGGCTTTTGGGGACTTTTTAATTTTCGGGTTTATTTTTTTCTTTTTTTTCATCTTTTGGTGGTTGGCTCTCCCCCCTCGCCCCTCCGGGAAGTGCTCTGCCAGCCGCCTCTCGCCCCGCCATCCCTGCCCATGCGCCGCGGGCAGCGGGCAGCTCCGCGGCTCGCCCGGGAGCTTGAGTGCGGAGCGGCGCGGTCCCTCCCCGGGCAGGATGTACACGGCCGCTGGCCCCTTTCTACCGCCTCCAACTTCGTTGTTTGGTTCAGCCGCGATATTGCTCTGCATCGGGCCGGCAGCCGGCGGCTGCTTCCCGCATGGACGCCGCGGCGGCGAATGAAGCCGTCCTTCTGCATCGCCGGACATCTCCACGCCGGCGGCGAGGGCGGCGGGGGACCCGCCGACAGCCTGCCCGGAGGTCCGGCCGCGATGCCGGCGGGCGCTAGGAAGCCGTCCACCACGGAGGTCCCTTCCCGCTACCGCCTCGTCCGCTCCGGCCACGCCCGTTTCCCCGTTTGGGGACCCCCCCCCCCCGGGGGTTTTGGGGGGGGGGGGCCCCCCCCCGCCCCGCCACCTTCCCGCCGCCGCCTCTCGGCCTCTCTCCGCCGCCTTACCATCCCACCCACCGCCCCGCAGCACGGTCCCCCGCGGCGCAGCGGCGGCGGCGGGAAGGCGGAGGCGCCCGGGCCCCCGCCCGGCTGCCCGGCGGCCACACGCACGGTCATCGGCACCGGCGCCCGCCAGCAAAGACCTGAAATTCGGTATCGACCGCATCTTATCGGCGGAGTTTGACCCCAAAGTTAAGGAAGGCAACACGCTGAGAGGTAGAGAAATTGGCTTGTCTGCTTTCCCTGCTAGCGCTCTCGGTGCTCTGTTACTTGCTCTGTGATTGCTTTAGCGAGTTACACTCGCGATTTGAAAACTTTTCGACCTAGCCGAAAAAAGAGTTATTTAAAAAAAAAAAAGGGCGTTATAAATTCGGGTTTCTAATAGCGCTCACTAAACTAGCCCTCACCCCGACCCCCGCACGGCAGAGCCGCGGCACAGGGCTTGCGCCCCTGGGAAAATAGAGATAGTATGAAAATAGCGAGCGGAGCGCTCCGCGCTACTCGGAGCTGCCGGGGATTTCTGTCTCCGAGGGCACAGCCCGTTTAAAAGCTTTCGCTGCAATCCATCTCCCCTCGCGGCCTGTAAACATCCTGACCAAAGAGAGTAAATAAATCGGAGGATGTCTGACCGCTGGGGCACGGCCGCCCCTCCCGAGGAGAGCCCCTGGGGGCGGGAGGCGGCTGCCTGGTGCCCCCTGAAGCCCCTCCGGCCGGGGACCCGCTCCGCCTGGCCCCGGCCTCGGCTCCGCTGTCCGGACCGTGCCGGGGTGTCGGTCTCGACCGCGGTATAACAGAGCTCTCCTTGTTCCTGTGCTCGCAGATCTGACCTCCTTATTAACTACCAGCCGCCAAACTGGGGTTCATCTCCCCAACTTGCAGCCTTCCGCCGGCCAGTTCTTCGCGTCTCTAGACCCCATTAACGAGGCCTCTGCTATCCTGGGTCCTTTAAACACAAACCCAAGGAGCTCAGTGCAGCACCAGTTTCAAGACACTTTTCCAGGTACATCTCGTCCCTCGTCGACCCTCCCGTGGCGCAGGGCCCTCCGTCCTGGAGCAGCCCCCTTCCTCCCGGAGGGACTTGCCAGGCACTTTTGAAAGGCCAGGCCGTGTGTTTTCTAGGGAGGTTCAGATTTTGGGCGAAAACCGGGCTGCGTTGGGGGGGAGGAAGAGTCGGCTAGGGCCTGATCTAGAGGACCATCCCATCGAGTACAGAAATAATACTTGAGCTGAGAGAGAAGATGCGGGGAGGGGGGAGAGGAAGAAATTCGTGTTCCAGACAACTTCACCCGCGCCCAAGGAAGCATAGGCTGACAGGACACGTACCCAGCTGGCAGGCAGGGCCACGCTGGCTCAGGCCCTCCCCGCACACCACAGTCCAACTCTTATTCTGATCGATTTAAGGCTCCCCTTCAGGCTGTGATATTAATAACGCTGTGTCCTTCTCCCTCCCTCTGCTTTTCTCTCTCCCTTCTCAGGTCCATATGCAGTTTTAACCAAGGACACGCTGCCCCAGACGTACAAGAGGAAACGCTCCTGGTCTAGGGCTGTTTTCTCCAACCTGCAGAGGAAAGGTTTAGAAAAACGGTTTGAAATCCAGAAGTATGTCACCAAACCGGACAGGAAGCAACTGGCGGCGATGCTGGGGCTGACAGATGCTCAAGTAAGAACGGCTTCGGTTTTATTTCAAATCTTACTTCCAGTTTAGATGAATACCAGAAGGTGGGGAGGTTTCAAAGTGATTTCCTTTCCTTCGTCTTTAGCGGGGCTGGCTGAGGAGCTGGACCTCACCCCGAGCATCTCTTGCGTGCAGATTCCGCGGAGTTTTTGTTTTGGCCACCGAGGAGCAGGCCGGGCAGAGAGGAAAGCGGGGCCAGGGCAGACCATCAGAGTGTGCTTTACTGGAGTGCAGTTCTCTGTAGGAGGTAGTTTAGGTCAAAGGAAGTAGAAGCAAACACACTATTTTTAATGTCCCCTTTTTTTCTCTCTCTCTCTTTTTTTTTTTTAATTTTAAATCTTTCCCCACATTGTGAAATCCATCGTTCTGAGGAAGTGAAAACACTTCTTCAAACGGAATCATTAAACGCCCCTCTGTAATGATTCCACTATTGAGGGCCCAGAGCGTGCAGAATTGTATAACGCTGTGGTTTCTTGAGCAAGATTTGGTTTCCTGGAAGAAGAAGCAGGAGGAGAGAGGAAACAAACAAACAACACAGAGGGGAGGGTGTGTGGTATTTAAACACACAAACTAGAAGCAGAAAAAAAAATAAAGCCCTTTAGTCGCGTCAGGGTGTGGGCAGTGGGAGGTGAGGACGGCTCCTTCTTCTCTTCCCGCGTTACCAGTGGAAGGCGTCGGGGCCGGGCGCTGCGCGGGGCGCGATGCGGGGCGCGCTGGGGCCGTGCCGCACCGTCTAAGGGCGGCGCTGCCGCAGGTGGAAGGTTGTGTTTCCAGAACCGGGCAGGATAATTGGCGGCCACTCCAAGGGGGCAGGCCCAGAAGGGACAAGGAACCGCCGCCGGAGCCGGAGGCCGCGGCCCAGAGAACCGGCGCAGCGCTTCGCCGCCACCGGGGAGCCCGGTGCAAGCCCCATAGCGCTCCGACGGCGACAAGCGACAGCAGCGGACGCTGAGTCCCTCGACATGGCCCCCGCGGGACACGGAACGTACTGAGGGGCGCGAGCGGAGCCTGCCCGCCGCCGGGGGCTCGGCACAAATCCTCCGCAGGTACCGGCCTCCGTCCCCGCCGCCGCCCCGCCGCCCGCAGCCCGAGGCGCGGAACGGGTACTAGATGAGCGGCCCGCCGCGCCCAGGACCTGTTGCGCTAATTATCTCCCTTTCCCGCCCCGCGAGATGCGACAAGGCCGGCGCGGTCCGGCACAGCCCGCTCCCACCTGTGGTCAGTGCCCGGCCTGGCCTGGGGCGAGGGGCCGAGGATGCGGGCGGAGCGGGGACCCCGGGGCCGGGGCGGCTGTGCGTGAGGCAGCGCTCTCCCTCCACGCTGCTTCGCAGGGAGGAGAGCGGGATTTTGTCTATTTTTTTCCTTTTTTTTTTTTTTTTTTTTTTTTTTTTTAAATTTTATTTTAATTCCTGTCCAAGGAAAATCTGAAGAGGGACTCCAGATTTCAGAGAACGGTCTCTGAAAATCCCCACCTTTCCCCACCCCTGCCCACAAACAATTTAGAATGTGAAGTATTTTGCCAACGTCCTCATTGGTGCAACGTGTGTTCGGAATAATCCGGCCAAGAAAATACTGCACTGACAAATATTATAAATAATATAATATAATATATATCTCCTGTAAATAAAATGTTTGCTATTGGTTTGTAACCACGTCAGTCTGTTGACCAGGGGAGAGGGATGGCGAGGCTGCCCCAGCTTCCTTTGCCCCGCTCGGAGGCAGCCACAGTCTCTCCTCGCCTTGGAGCCCCTCCAGGCAGCCTTCTCCTTTTATTCCTTTCCTAATGAAGGCGGTGACAAGGACCGGATTTGCTGACGCAAAATTGTGCCCCCGATGAGAAAGTTACCGATTACGTTTGTAGCCCGGCGCGTGCCTACACGTGTGTATTTGTCGTGTAAGGTGGCTTTTGCTGTCGATGCCAGGCAGAACTGGGCTGTCTGACCCTCGCCGCTCTCGGGCCGCTGTCAAGCGCCGGCGGGGCAGTTTCGGCGTTCGGGGGGGACGCGACGTATTTGCGTATTTGTTTTGTTTTGCTTTGCTTTGCTTCGGTGTCGGTTCGGTTTGCCGCGCACCTCTCCGCAAGCCCCCGCGGAGGGGTGGGGAGGTAGTGCTCTGTGACGTCACTGCTCTCATGGGGGGGGCGCTGTGACGTCATGCAGGCGCTGTGCGCGGCGCGGGGGCGGTGCGGAGGCCGGTCGCGGGATGGGGTTAGGGTTAGGGTTAGGGTTAGGGTTAGCACCGGGGGGACACACGGCGGACTGTCCCCCTGCCTCGGTGGGTGCCTATGGGGCAGAATGCCCTCCCTGGTGCGTGCGGCCGCCAGCTGTCCTTCGGGGCCGGTGGGGTTTGCCAGGGAGGACACGCTCCTGGGGGCCACCCTTGCTAGAAGGTAGAATCCATGAGGAGCAAACCCCTGAGGAAAGAGAAGGAAACACCGACAGCATTCCCTCGCCACAAGCAGCGGGGAAAAGGAGCTGGGACATATGGCAGGCAAAGAGATCGTCCTACCGGACGAAAAATGAACGGGTGAATTCGTAGAAAATGTCTAAGCGAACGGACACAGGTTTTTCCAGAGCCACGAAGGGCAGGGTAATCTCCAGGAGGGGCGCACATAAAGTTCTGATGCACTCCTGGATGCGCGCAGCGCTCGCGTAGGGCTGTGCTCCCAGGGCGCCATCCCTGTCCGACTCCTCTTGGGACAGGGAAGCGGGGTGGGGGAAGGAATGGTCTGAAAGGGGCTTGTAAATTAGTTCTGCCTTTAAAACACTGCCAGAGAGTGGTGTTTCGAGGGGGTATTTCGACTTTTCGGGGCACGGTATGGGCCCCGCAGTTCGCTTCCAGCCCCAGAAAGTGGCTGTGCCCATCAGCGCGGGATTTGCGTGGTGTTTTAAGTCCCCTGAGTGCAAGAGAAGCCGCGGGACAGATGTCCAGCGAAACACAACTGGTTTCTCCTCCGTGGTGCGGCTCACGGAACCGCAGGAATCTTGTTTGCCTCTTGAGTTTGCTTGCTGAAAACTAATCCATGCAGGAGAGAGGGGTTTTGAGTGGCTCTTGTCAGATGAGGAGGGAAAGCACGTCGGAAAGGAGTTTCTCTTTCCTTGGGTTAAAGAAATCTGCTTCTCCTCCAAGTGCAGGGCTGTCTGCGAGAGGCCAGGCTCTCCCCACCTCGGTCTCCTCAAATAACGGGAGCAATGCCCGCCTGGACGCCGGGTCGGGGAGAGAGCAGGGGCAATGCCTTCATGGCACCACTCTAAGATAACGCGACAAAAGAGGGTGGGACTCGGGCTACGGAGAAAGATGCTCAGATCTGACTGGAAGAGTTGGGATAAAATTCCTTCGACCCACGGCTGCTTTTCGTGTCCCGCGCACCTCGGGTGCTGTTCGGGCCGAGGGTCCAAGTGGCAGAGCCGAGAGGGTGGGCCTCTTCCTCTCTCCCTGCGACAGGGAAAATAAATAATATCTATTCCCAGTTTGCTCCCGCTGTGCACGGGCAGGTAGAGCAAAGCCAAGAAAACGATTCTGCGGAAAGATGCGTGGATGAAGGGATTTGTGCCTGTCTCGACAGGGAAGGGAGTTTTCCCGGTCCCGTGAGGCTGCAGTTACTGCTCAATTTCTGCAGAAAAAAAAAATCCGGACAACGTCGTGACTTCAGGCAGCTCGAGCGCCGTTCATCGGTGAAGTCGACACGTCCGTAGTGCAATGCAACACTCCCTCGCCACCTAGGGGGTTCGGCCCGCGGACCTCCAGAACAGGTCAAGAAAATCTTGGGGTTGCCTCTATTTTGTTTGCTTTAGTATGGCCTGGTAACGCGAAAGACTTTTGATGCTGGTTGTGTCTGAAACGCGAAACGCCCGAGCCCACTGTTTCTCCGCAGACACAAAAGACCTCGACGGTCTTTCAGCTGGGGGTCACAGCTTTCCTGGCGGTCTCTTCACCTCCCCTAGATCTGTTCTGACTCTTTTCAGACGAACGAAATCCCCTTGGGCTGCACCCACCCGCCGCAACGCGGCTGTGTGTCAGGGGGTGTCATAGCGCGGGCCGGGGTCCCCTCGGAGGGGCCGGGAGGAGCTTCCCGTCGCTGCCCTCGGTCTCCGCGGTCCCGGCCAGGCCAGGGTCTCCACACACACTCGCTGCGCCTCCCCACCCGGGTACCAGGCAGAGATTTTTCGGGCTGATTTCAGGTGAAAAGTTATACACGAGACCAAGAAGCCGGAGCGATACACACTGCCGCAAGGAGAAAAGAGGTTTTCCTGTGTCCTCCTGCGTGGCATGTGTGGGAAATCGGATTAATAGTGAAGCGGGAGGCCTCGCCGTGCCGCTCCGATATCCCAGCCCCGTCTGCGAGCATCCACACCGTCAGAGATGCGCAGCCGGGCTAGATCAGAGTCAGGTCTTGCCGGCCTCCGTCCCGAGGAGAAGCTTACCAATAACCCCCGCCTTTCCTAGGCGCTGTGTAGGGAAGTCCAAAGAGATACTTTTATTTTCGCCTGATTTCTTACCAGAAACCTCCCATCTCCAGAGACTCAATTCAACCTCAGAAATAACAGTCACATTACAAGGAAAAAAAAAAAAACAAACCAATAATACAACAAAACAAAGGCAATATTTTTATCAAGCGAAATATGGTGCAAAAGGGCCGGGTAGGAGCTGGCATTGGGGTCCTCCGCTGCTCCGCCTGACGGGGAGGAGGCAGTTCGCCGCGGCCCCCCCGACTCGGCACTGCTCCCCACAGAGCCCCGCGGGCGCGGAGCCGGCGGCAGCGAAACCTGAGTTCGCCTCCCTCGTTAGCTGAGCGAGACCGGCCCCCCTCCTTAGGAAAATATTTTTATTTTATTTTAATGTCGGGCTTAAGCTGATGTCTTAAAAAATAATTGTTTTCAGACCCCGGTTCGCTCGGCATCGCCGTTTCACACTCGCAGGCACACACATCTTTCTCTGCAGTTCATGCCTCGGGACTGCCTGGCGTCGGCAAGACAAACTGCAATCTCCGAAATGTCAACTTTTGCCACAATCTCGACTAAAAAAACCACCCCCTTCTTATTGCTGTTGAGCGCTCATCAGAAATAATGGCTGTTTACACAAAACCTTTATTCACTTTCTTAAATAAACACCAGTGAATTCAAATAAAGCAAAGCCTCAGCTATAATTCAGGCACAACGTTTTCTGTGTATATTCTCGGCTGCAGACCTGGAGAGACTCCTCGGAGAGAAATATGAAGTCTCTTTTCATAGTCCACCTCCATTAACTAAATATTCTAGCTCACCTCGGCCAGGTTTATACTACCTCGGCTTTCCTTTTTTCCTCTTTTTTATGTTTTGCCCCAGCTGGAGCAGAAATATTTCCTCCCTTCTCCCCAGTCCCTTTTTACAGAGGTGTGGTCCGGACGGTTTTCTTTTTAAATCAATTTGCAGAAGCCCCTTCCTCTCCCCTTTCACAGCCTTGGCTCGGGGGCGTGCTCGAGCGGGAAGCTCTATCGGGCGCCAAGGAAAGGCGCTGCGGCCACACCGCTACCCTCCGCAGTCCGCACGGCCGTGGATGCTCGTGGCTCGGCGGGCAGCGGTGGATAAGGGTAAGGGGATAGGATATGGGTTGGTGAGGTCGGCAGGGCGATAGCAAGGTCTCGTTTATTCGAAAGAACCGGCTAAAATGAAATTCACGCAAACTCTCGAGCTCGGCCGGGCAGCGGAGAGAGCCGGGTACCCGCGTGGGGAGCGGTGGCCTCGCCATCCACCGCCCCACGGGGGAACGGGGCCCGTCCCGGCGCGGGGCGCGCTGCCCCCCTCTCCCCTCATCTCCCCTGCTCCCAGCCTGGGACCCGCGGCCCCAGCCCTAATGAGATCCATTAAGCGTATTATTGATGTGGAGGTTTGCTGTGAGGTCCCGGCTGGAGGGAAGCGGGGCTCTGCTGCAGATACAAGCGCTCTGATCTGCACCACCTGGCTGAAACCAGAGAGCCGCCACTTCATTAATGGGTTTAGCCTTTGCTAATTGGTGTCTTTAGGAGCCTTGCCAAATTCTGCTCCGAGATCTTTGGAGGCAGATTTTGTTTTTCCTCCTGCCGGTGACATTCGTTGACGGCAATTAGAGCCAATACCACTCCTGCGCCGGGGGCCGCCAGGCAGTCCGAGAGCCCTCGACGGGACGGGCTGCGCGGCCGCTCCGGGCACCTCCTGCCCGCTGCTTCCTCCACCACACCACCACCATCGTCACCTTCACCAGAAGTGGAAACGCCGTAGGTAAACCTCGCGGTGAGGAGAGCCAAACCACCCTCCTCTCTCCTCGATGACGGCTGCGGCAGGTGACACGAGTGGAAGTGGGGCGAAAGACGCCCTATGCCCCACGCCGCCCCTGCAGAAAGCGAGCGCAGGGGCTGGGGCGGCAGTGACCGGCTCCGTGCCAGCCCCGCGCCCGCACAGCCGCGCTCTCTCCGCCCGAAGGAGCGGCGCCAACTGGCGAAGCCCCGCTTGCCAGCCGCCCTCGGGGTCAGCTTTATCCCCAGACCCGCGGGCCTGACCAGCTTCTCCGAGACTCAAACGGCCGTAGCTAATGAAATCCGCTCACCGCAAATCACAGAGCTCTGCCGTATGCTATAATCAAATTTCTGCTTGCCTTAAAAAACCCGGGCCACCCTCCTCCACCCCCGTTCTCTGGGCAAACCCCAAATCAAAGGTTTCTAGCCATCACACCCCTCCAGCTATGCCTGGTCCCAGGCCATCTCTCCCGGCCTTCGTGCCACCGCCTGTTCTTCCCCCACGCCTGGTGATGAACGGTGCCTTTCCTCGGCCACCAAAAGAGGAGGCTGCCTGGGATCACCCACGTCCACCTGGCCAGATCCAGTGGGGTAACCCCGGCTGCCTGCATGCTCAGGTGGGGATGATGGAGGGGATGGGGATTCTGGAGGGGTTGAGGGTGATGGAGGGGATGAGGATGCTGGAAGGAACAGAGAGGTTGGACGGTTTCCTTGCCCAGCGGCAGAAAAGAGGGGCCAGTGAGCAAGACACGCTTTCACAGCCACACACACAAATCACACCAGCTTCATTTACGGGGTAATGTTGTCACCAGTCGTGTAACTCAAGTATTCAGGGGTCAGAGATGGCTGATAAATCACGCTGAGTGGGGATTTTATCCTCCTCACGGCACCATTGTCGGGCTTTGCTGGCCCACTCCATGGGCCGTGTCCCAGTACCAGCCTCGGCGAGATGTCAGAGCAGATGCCAGATGAACAGGCACTCCGCCACCCGCCCCGTCCCCATGTGTCTGCAGACTCGAGGGCAGCCCAAAGCCGTGTCCCCTGGACAAACGCCACCTGCCCTGGTCCTGCTGCCCCCCGGGGAGCGGGCGCTGCACGGTGCCCCGGGCAGGGAAGTTTATTGGGAAGGCGGGAGGAGAAGTCTGGGGCCGGGACTTTCCATTTCTCTTTTTCTTCCTTGGCTCAGATACTCTGTCCCTAATCCTTCTTTGGGCGGGCTGACTGTAGGCGGGGGAGCCCGCCTGTCCCTGCCCAATTTAAGCCGGGCTACAGAGGGCGCTGACCCGTGAGGGACAGAGACAGACCCCCCAGGTCCACCGGGATCCCCGAACCTCCAGCCTGTACCTCAATCCAGCCCCGGAAAGCAGGAAGAAGAAGGATGGGATGCGGCACGGAGCCGGCCCGCCTTCTCGAAAACATCTCGGCACAATTCTGAAATGCACGAGCTCCTAAGCTGGCCCGTGTGGCTGGAGTGCTCCACGCTGCCATAGACGAGCCCAAGACCTAGCCCACAGCCTTGTCATTTTCCTTTAACACTACATAAAGAAAATGTGTAGTTGCAGATGAAAAATAACTCAAGAGGATTACAGCCTGTGTTTTACAACCAATTCTTTTGAGCTTTCTATTATCGTTATTTTAATGACAGCAAAAGCAAGTCTGAAATCTCTTTCAGCACATTCATACAGATATCCATACATATCTATGATTTGAATATGTACATATACATACATATACACATATTTATATGTAAAAGCAGTCCACTGAAAATATAAGCCATTCTATAAATGACTAGGCTGTGCAAGAGTATAAACGTCTTTTAAAGAGCTTTTCAGTAAAAATGCCTGAATTATAGGCTTTTTTGAGTCCTGTCCATAATGAGATCTGGCTGGATGTCAACAGAGGCGCCTTTAGAGCAGAGACTATAAGATGACTTCTTGAAACAGCACAAGCTTAATCTACAAACAAGGGCTGCTGATGAAGAGAAACGGGGTGGCTGATAGAACAGCCCCTTCTCACTGCTACGGTCCCTGAGCCCTTGAACGTAGCTTGGGAGTGAGTATTTTTACGAGTGGTGTAACAGGGAGGATATGAAGCTCGTTTTTGTCTGGGGCTTGGCTCTGGACAGCTTCCTCTTTTGCTGTAGTTCTTCAATTCTCTTGAACTTAATACATTCAGTACAATTCGCTTCACAACACTGTATTTCCAAGGACAAATCCCAATGTGGACCGTTTGGCCCAAGTGGCCCTTCCCCAGCCCTGGAGAGTGCCTTCCCGCCCACTAGTGTCTGTGACTACAATCGTGGCGGATGAGGAGGGGTTCTCTACCGGTTCTCTACTTTAATCTCAAGCAAGCCTTTGGAGACGTCGCTCAAGGGAGGGTGGGAGCGGTCCTAATGGCCTTTCCCGATCCGGGGATTGCTTCGGCCCCAGCCGTTCCTCTCCCCTGCAACCCACGCGGGGCGGAGAGGGCCGGCAGGGGCGGCCCCACGGCCCCGTCCGGATCGGGCCCCTCTCTCAGGCTACAGTAGACGTGTTTATTTGTGCGCGCACCCCTCCCTATAAATCCCACCATCTATAATCATTATCTACATGGAAACTTTTGCCCCCTGCAGCCCCCCAGGACCCCCCCTCCTTCCCTCCCCCCCCCCCCCCCTAGTTAGCGGTGATGAATTTTAAAAGCATGCGATGATCTAAGCCCTAATACTAATATTATGCATCATTTGGACAGGATAACCATGCCACCTTGTCAAACGCTGCCTCTTTACACAACCCATTTGCTGCATCGCAGAGTCATAACGGCGGTGATGGATGGGCAGGGGACCCCCCCTGCGCCCCCCCGGCACGGAGAGGAATGCGGGCGGGCGGAGCCCCCGCGCCCGCGGCCGGCCCGCACCCCGCCGGCGACAATTTATGGTCTGTATATATTTGCTGGCTCCAGATATCGGCAGCGTAATGGATCGTTATATTTTATGAATCCGAGGCTCGGATCTAGGCACTCGGGAGTCCCTTCCATGTATGGTGCACTCCTGTCTCGCCCTTAATCCGCCCGGCAGGCAATAAACTTCTCCGCTAAATGCGCCGGGAGATAACAGCCAACTTTTATTGATTACAAGAAAATGCTCGAAACTAAATAAAGGGTTTTTATGAGGATCCCTGCGAAGACCCTTTTCTCCGCAACCATTAAGCTCAATATCGACATTTTACTGTGTGTTAACTGTGAACTTGTTTAACCATAAACGTTAGGGCGGGGGTAGAAGCAGAATGAAAAACGGCGATGCTCGTCGAGAGGAGCCGTGCTCGGAGGTGTTGCCGGCCTGCTAACTCGGAAGGTGCCCGCTGGCCCTCCGGATTCCCTCTCGGTCCCTCTCTCTTCTCCCTTGTTGAAGGCATGGGTGCGGGAACAGCTCCCAAACCTGAAAACAGGGAGCGCTGGGATGTAACACCGGAGATGCCGAGCAGGGGAAGGGCGAAAGGCACCTCACACGGACGTTTGGAGCGGGACTCGGGAGAGTTATCTCCCGGGCGTACCCTGAGGGGCGGATGCGGAGGAGTTCACTCGCCTTTTAAAGTGGATGATCGTAGAAGGTTTCTCCACTTTTCCCCTGTTTCCACAGGCCGGGGAGGGGGGCGAAATGTGAGAAAAAAGATGAACTAATGTATTTTATTGTATTCCTACCGTCTTCTTTATAGCCTCAGAGTTGTAACGGGCGTTAAAGTCTCCGCCTGGAAGTGGGATGATATTGGCGGCGGGCGGGAAGGGGGAGGTCCGGCATCGAGCAGCCGGGCTCTGCTCAGGTGCAAGTCAGAGACTTACCCGT